TTTTTGTGATCAAAAGCACAAAGCTGGCCCAAATGGTCATGGGTTGTACCACGGTTAAAACAGTTTTCCGTTAAGTAAGTGTGTTGAATGTATAGGGTTTAATTTTTGATTGCACTCGGATCACTAAGTCCCAGGCGGTAGATAAAAGGCAGAAGACAACAGGAGGAGGTTTTATTGTGGAGATAACCCTAAGTTTGTGTTCCAGGCAGCAAAAGCCACTGGCCCCATGGCAGGCGGGGTGCAAGTCTACGGTTCGGTTGAATGTGTCAGTCGAGGACGAACTTTGGGGCACCAGTCTGCTCATCTTTTCATTGGCTCCAGCCGATCAGTGGTAATTCTAACGTTGTAAGTAACGAATTCCATCAGGTGCCTCTTGAAGAGGACACAGCAGCGAGATTTGCATATATAAGTTAATTTATAGTGAAATAGGCTTGCAACTTCCCACTCACACACGGCAACGGTGACTTGCATATATAAGTTATTAGGAGGCTTTTGCAGAGTTTGAATAGTTCAGTTGGCCCAATTTCGAAAAATTCGTGGCCTCGTTAGAATTAGAACACACATCAGTAGCGAAGAGCTTAGTACAGCTAACACTCGACCAATTACGCTAGGAAGGCATGCCAAAAAGCCGTGAAGTTAATCGCATTTGGGTTACTTTACTCGTCCAGCCTACTGCACGTATTGATTCCACCATTATGGATACAGTAAGCTGACTGCCCAGGCAGGATTTCCTAAACATTAAGGAGCCATTGTAGCCTGGCTCACAGTCACTTCAGTGTGAACCGAGTTATCCCTTCAGTTGGTATCCTTCTAAAGCACGTCGTGATGGATTCCGACACGTCAGATTAATTATAATGAGGACTACGGGGAGGAAGACTGTAGAGTCTAATGTTCAAACGGGTTGGGAGACGGTTTCCGTACGGGTGAGAAATTCTCGTGTGAATCCTATGCAGTGCTCGCAAAACGTAGGTTGAGCGCCCCGCGGGAACAGAAAGGGTGTGCATTTAAAAAATGGTACACAAACCTCCCACTTGAGCCTCTTCTCCAGTTCTTCAACCGTCTTAATGCAGTAGGAGGCGGTGACTAGGATGACGCAGACACCAACAACCTCGTCCTTAGTGAGACGTACGGGCTGCAGGCAAAAAAGGAAAGACAACGGGTCAAAAGCATTAAGTGGAAGTGCCGAGAACAACAACATGAAACATCGACTGCATTCCCAAATTGCTCATCCCCTTACAAGCGCACACCGATCAGGTTAGACAATATGTTTCATCCGTTGTGTTTTGGGGTCTAAACTTGAACCCTCGCAGGCAGCCCCACAGCAAGTAGTAGAAGTAATAGCAGAAACAGCAGTAGCTGCAGTAATAGTGCATTATGTTCCTGACCATAAGGCGCACTTAAAAGGCCTATAATTTTCTGAAAAACAACAGTGTACCTTATAATTTGGAGCGTCGGAAGTCGAAGCGATGTAGATGAGAAAAACGTTCAAAAAGAAACCATGAATTGTGCTTCTGAGAAAGTTAAGGGCTTTTAAGTGTGCCTTATAGGTCGGAAAATACGGTAGTAGTGGCAGCAGTGTTGCGTTTATCCCACCTCAGGCGACTGATAATTAGGCTGTGGCCTGTTGCTAGCGGTGGGGGAGAGAGTGAGGTCGACCCTTGGACCCCGCAGTCGGTCCAGTATGTCTTATTGTGTGTAGTGGCTGTCTATCGGCTGGGCTCCAGATGCAGCGCTTATGGAGCTCCTTGTCGGGAGCACACTTAGCGAGACGTGCTGTTGGTACGCGTGTTGAGTGTTTGTCGCGCCAGCCGCCTGCGCTCTCCCGCATTTTCGGCTTTCTTAACTCTGTCTTGACAACCGGTTCCCGGTGCAGGAGTGGTCAGAGTGAGGTACATCCGGCGAGTCCACCATCACTTTAATCCAGCTAGAGTCACAGCGTGCTCCAACTCGTTGAAGCTCGTATTTTATATCGTCAAAATCGAAGGTCGAACGGTCGGTTGACGTAGGCAGTGTAGACGGTGAGAGTAAAAGGCAATGCCTTTGAAAACCCTATTGTTTACATGCGAGTGGAGGTAAAACTGTCCCTTTTAAAATAACAATAACAAACTGTGAGTAGTATTGGTTTGACATATAACGAATGCGTGGAGATTGTAAGGTTTTATTTCGATTTATTTCATACTGTCAAGCGACAACAAGGTGCACATATAAGTATCCAAGCGATTCTTGAAGAGCTGTATCGAAGTCGCTTCTACGACTAATTCTGGCAGAGCAGTTCCTGGTTATATTACCCACTGCGTGAAGAATTTAGAGCAGAGACTTAACCTAGACATTTTTCGTACGCAGCTTCATCGCGTGTTCCGAAAATGAGGCGGAAGGTGCCACTGAAACATTTCCTCAAAGTGCAATCATTGCTCAAGGCCAAATACCATCTCCCCAGGCTGAGGACAGATGCAGTGCTTTATGAGTGGATAGTTCACTGTCTTGTAATTTGAAAGTTTTCAAAACCGAAACATGTCTGTTCTTTGAGCATGAAACGTTAAGGCGTAACTTGCTACGAAAGGAGTACAGGAAAGAATAGTGTTGTGAATCTTTTCTATAAATTATATTTAAATTTATAAACGCATCGAAAATCACACGGGAAAATGTCAACTACTGAATTATGACTTTTTCTAAAGAGTGTAGTATCTTGTAAGCGGTGGTAAGAGGACTTATTCTAACACAGGCATTCTGAAGTGACCGAAATATCTTGAAAATATGCCACATAATAAGCAAAAGTACAACCCTGAAGGTAATCTTTTTTTAATTTAAAAAATTCAGAATTTCTGTTAACATTTCGTGACGGTAGATGGGCCTTGGGTGTAGACGGCTCAGTGCAAAGCCAAAAAACAGTCGGCTTCGCTGTAAAGCGTGTTTTGTAAACAACGGGAAGCGATTGTTTTTAGCATTACCTAGTCTATATACAGAGGTAAGGTTGTCTTCAAAGGCTACACCAGTGACCTTATCATACGGGAGAGACATTTTGGAAATGCACGGATGACTGCGGCGAATAATCGGGTGCATAAAGGAAAGGGCTCGAGTAAACACCTTCACTAAAGGCCGAAATCAACAACGACTATTCAAAAAGAAAAGGTGCTTGCGTATGAGCGGAGGCGTAGGCCAGGGCAAAGAATTCTAACCGTCGTAAGATATATTGTAAATGCCACGGGTTGGTGAAGTGGATATATCCTACTATAGACACTATGTTTCCAGTGGGGAGCCCGAAGCTCACAATGGTCTACTGGTTTCTTGAGAGATGTATTTTCTGGTAGAAGTTTAATTTAGGTTCGAGTATAGCACGCGAAAACCCCCAGCCTTTTCTAATACGGAACAGGTGGCAATGGGGGTTAAATGGGTAGGGCGTATCAGTGGAAAGAAAAATAATAAAAAGTAAAGCGTATACATTGGAAAATAATAGGAATAATTATTTAAATAATATAATGTTTGGCAACAAAAGAGAACGCGATAAATAAAATATGCAAATACGCAAGCATCGGGAACTGCTTCAATTTGCGGACCAAGACAAAGAACTTCGAAGTTCCGAAATTAAAGTAAAATTGAGTAAAAAATAAAATAAAATAAAACCACATGGCTCTTATAACTGTAAAACTAAACAAAAACTAAAGTGAGTTAACAAAAGAAACCTAGATTAAAATAGGCTAAAATAACTAAATTAAGCTAAAGGCCACTAAATAAACAAAGGTATACTAACATTAGCTAAAATAAATAAACTAAAAACTAAAATAAAACTAATAACACATAATAATGGACTAGAAATTAAACTAAAAACCGAACTAAAATATAAATAAGTTCAATAAACCAAAATAACTAAACTTAGATAAAGTATAGTAATAAAGATTTCAATTCCAAAATCAACCACATGTGGCTAACAAATCTAAAAATGAACTAAGAATAAACTAAAACCTGACTAAAGAAGGGTAAACTAAAATAAACTAACCACACTTTAAAAAATATAAAGCTAAAAAGCGTAATGATAAACTAAAGAAAAATTGAATACTAAACAGAACAATAATATTAACTATAAAGCATAAATAAAAAGATTTTGACAGAAAGCATTCTTTGGGAAACAGGAACGAACTTTATTCTAAATCTATTCTAAACTTTCTTAAATTTGCGAAAATTTCCATTGAAAATTTCAGAAGATGAATTGGCAAACATGCGTTTGTTTTCGATAATTCTCATCAGGCCTTTACATTTATATGGTAATTTAGTAAAAAAAACTATGCGGGATGGTAGAAAAAAATAGAACGGTTGTCAGGGCAGGGGGAATGGGGGGCGGAACGGGGTCAAAATATGATCAGCTTTAGGGGAAACTGGTAGTCGGTTGAGATGTTAAGCTGCTGGCTGTTGGATTAGCAGCTTTTGACCATGGTAACTGCGGCGCCGCGACGAAATTCTTTTGGGCGCAAAGGCCTGTAAAGGCCTGAGGAGAATTATCGAAAACAACCGTATGTTCGCCAATTCATCTTCTAAATTTTCTGTCAAATTATATTTCTTGGGATGCCTATTTTCAAATTCAAATAAAAATATTTACGGCTCACCAAATATTAGATTATTTCAACAATACCGGAACCTAAATTAAACTTTCACCTATTGTCTTTCTGAAATGGGAAAAAGCAAAGTAACTTTCCAAGTAAGGAACTCCCATCATGTGCATATTTTAATGGAACAAAACAGCTTTCTACCACATCGGCTGTCATTGGGAATTTTTTAGAGAGAGAGAGAGAGAGAGAAAAGCCGCACGACAAATGCACACGGCTGATAATGCTCTGTTCTATGCACTAAAACATGAACGATCAGTGGCAAAGTAGGGGTAATCGGAAAGTTATACCAGAAGAGCGAGTAGCAGATAGTCTCTCGGAGAATAGGTAAATAAGCGGATTACCTCTGTATGGGGTACTTTCGAGTGCAAGCTTACTGTGCAGACAGGCAGCGGCAAAGACGGCTCAGCCACAGTGAGCAAAGCCTACTTAGGACAAGTATGTTCCCTAACCAGAGCGCTGAGCGCCCTACTATCACCACCAGTGTGTGGTTTTACAGAGACTGTCTCGCTTTCACTTGCGCCGGAACAAAAGGTGTTGGGCGGGAAACTAACCTGCTCATCGCGGAGGAGGTTTGCAAAGAACTGGTTGGAAAGGTTGGTGGCCACAGTCAGCGCAGATACTGGATTATCGTGCCCGGTACTGTCGGTAGTATCTCGGCTACTGTCGTCTCGGATTAAACCTAAAATGAGCGCAATATTTTCGGTACAAAAAAATTGCAGTGGCAACTTGTCATAACAATATGGATAATTAAGCTATTGATTATAACCCACGCTTTTTTTTCTAGAAGTGCCTTATTTATACAATACGTGCCAGAGTTCGTGCAACATGTGAAGGATTGATACTCTTTCGCTAATCGGCATTAACTCACGTTGTGATACTGATTATCGTTTTGTCTATTCTAAAGTCATTTCAGTCATGATAGGATGCGGGCTTTTCAACGAGCTTCCTTCTGACCGCAAGCAAAGAAAGTGACTACTTAAATAGTTTGCGTTTTTATCATTGATTTTGACCGCTTTTATAGATTCAAACATATTTTTTTGGAAAACATGCAGGAAAAATTCTCTCTTGTACTCGCTTGGTAGGAAATCCCACCTTCTTTAAATTTTACATTTAAAGAAAGAGTATCTTTCGGTTTAAAAAAAGTTTATAAATTGACGAATAATTTTGAAACCTACTGACTGCTACACTCGAATCCCAGGATTAAAAACTGCGCATTGTGTATATCCTATTTAAGGAATAGTATGTTTTAGCCTACGGTTTGAGAAAGAAGTCACATAATTCCCATAAAAGGTTGCAATAGACGTGGAGCGTGCTTTATACAGTATAGGCACCAATAATAAATAAACGGATACGATGTATTATGAATGAACACCTCACGATCGTAAAAAAGTTGATAACTAGAAATTTTTCTAAAACCGAATTTAAAGAAGGCGTAATTTCCTACCAAACGAGTACAAGAAATAATTTTTGGTGCATGTTTCCCATGAAATATATTTGAATTTATAAAGGTAGACAAAATCAGTGATAAAAATGCATACTAATTAAGTAGTTCCTTTTTGTACTACATACGTTTTGTTAGTGGTCAGAAGGAAGCTCGTTAAAAAGCCCGCATCTTATCATGT